TCTGCCGAGGCCCTTAGTCTATTTTATTAACCAAATAGGAGATATTCCTTCTTATGGAGGTATATGGTCTTTATATTGTCTAGGCACATGCCTTGTCACTTACTTTACATTGTTTGTAAGGCATTTTACATCTTACATCATTGCCAGATTTTTTCATGTTCATGTCAGCTACCTTCACTAAGAGGCATTAGAGTTTGATCTCATGCTTGTAAAGAATCTTATATATGTCCTCTATGTGTATTAAACAAACAGGCATCCATAGGACATAATATTCTGTGGGCATTGCTACACATAGTATCCATTATAATTACATACATAACAGACATACAGTATAATTACAATCAGCATTTATAAGACAAGAAAATCTTCTCTTTCAGTTAAGATTTATATCAGTTATAGCTTATTTGAGGACAGAGGTTCTCTCTTCCTTAGTTTTAACAGCATTGGAACAGCATTATCAGCACCAGAGCTGTTTGAAATAATTATATCCATAAGGGAAAGTAAATTTTGTCAGCTTTGCTTCCATCTCTCAAGAGCTGGCTCCATCGTAATGTCCAGTCACTATCTGCATAATTAGCGATAGATCTTTACTGGTCTTTGCATAAACAATGATCTCCTCTCTAATCAGGGATGAGATCTTAGTGGCCTTCACTTCATGACCAATAACTTGTGAGGTCACTGTTTCCTGACTATTTGTTATCAGACTACATCAGCCATTTTACAGGTTATTACATCAGCCATTGGATCTTGCAACCCTTTCATATCAATGCAGCATATTTTGTCAGGTTCATCATAAGCTGACCATTTATTTATTTTCTTTTTGCCTATTTTCCATATTGGTTTGTTTTTTATTAGGTTGGCCTCATGTTAGTGACTATGCTCTTAATATTATGCTGTCTAATATACAAACGTTTCAGGTTTTACTTTAAACAGGAACACATTTCTTTACTATTAAGGCTTCAGAAGCTTAAATTTTTCAAAACACAGTTGTCCCTATATATTTGCAGGTTAAACATTCATGGATTTGATTATTTATGGATTACTGCATTTTTGCTACCTTTAATACTTAATAATAATAATAATAATACTTTTTATTTATATCCTGCCCCTCTGCA